GTTATCCCCTAACACACACACACACACACACACACACACACACACATACACACACACACACACATAAAAACATTTTTAAACCCTGAAGTGGAGGAGTAGACTGTAGCCCAGCAGCAGTACATGGCTTGTTTAGCATGCCAATGTTCCATCCTAAGACTTACAAAATGAAGGAATAAATTCTGAAACAATTTTCCACCTTCTACGCACTTTCCCCCAAACTCTGACTCAGCCCTTTAAACCCTGAAGTGGAGGAGTAGACTGTAGCCCAGCAGCAGTACATGGCTCGTTTAGCATGCCAATGTTCCATCCTAAGACTTATAAAATGAAGGAATAAATTCTGAAACAATTTTCCACCTTCTACACACTTTCCCCCAAACTTTGACTCAGCCCTCAAATTCTATTGTGCTGTCTCTGAGAGTTTGGATTGAGAGCTATGGAAATTGACTAAATTGTGGGATAGTTGGCAACAGGTAAAAATCCTGTGATACAAAAAACAGCTAGCGCTTTCTTTTTCTATTTATTTATTTTATTTTATGTGTATGAGTGTTTTGCCCACATATGTGTAAGTGCACCACATGTGTGCCCGAGGTCAGAAGAAGGCGTCAGATTCCCTGAAACTGGAGTTACAGATGGTTGTTAGTCGCCATGTAGGTGTTGGGAACCGAACTCAGGTCGTCTGCAAGAGAAGCAACTGCTCTTAACTGCAGACCCAACCCTCCTGCCTGTTCTTTTTCATTTTGTCCAACATGCAAATTTCTTTATGCTAAATGTTTTATATGAATAAAATAAAATATGCTAAGTTCTGTAATTATCTCGAATTTACCAATGGGATCACTGGGGCTCAGAGGGGTTAAGCATACTTCTCTAAGATTGCACAGCCGGTAGATGTCAGAGGCAGTATGGGAACGGAGTCTGCTGTTTTCATTGGCTACTTAGAATCATATAGAAAAGGCTTGGTTTTAAGACTTGGTTCTCTGATGGCAGGTCTACCACTAAACAGCACTGACAGGACACTTGGTTTAACTGGGGAGAGGAAACCTTTAGACTAAAGGGCTGGGCAGGGCATTGCTAGGTGGCAAATGGACATGCATTGAGGTGCAGGACAAACTGGGTTTGAAGCATCCCCTGACATGCATGGGGAGGTGCAGAGGTTCAAACATACCCTTAAATGGGCAGCTGCACCTTGAAGTTCAGACCTCAGGTTGGTCAAGGCAGGAGAGACAGATTTGGGGCTTGTCAGAAGTTACTGTTAATCCCATGGACAGGAGGAGAGATCTTCAAGGAAGTTGGTGGAGTTAGTGGAGGACACTCAAGAGGGCGCGCTTGGGAAATCTAATATTTAGAATGAAAGATTAGCAAGAGATAATGGAGGAAGCCTGACCAGGGAGGTGGAAGGTATTGAAACGGAGAAGAAAGAGGTGGCCCACTGTGCTGGATTCCGCTGAGGTTAGACTCACGTCAATAAATTCTGAGATTTCCAGGATCTGGCGGCTGTGACCAGGCCGGGGGTGGGGGTGGGGGAGTAAAACATCACAGTGCCTATGAACAAAGCCTAAAGAATCAACACCAAGCAGTGATCTTCAGATTTTCCGGAGTGAACAGGAGGGCCAATATTTACATTCAGCATCCCTAAAGAAAGTCTCTTACTGGGGTCGGTAAGATGGCTCACCCAGTAAAAGTGCTTGCTTCCAAGCTTGATGACCCGAGTTTGATCCCAGGGACCCACATGGTGGAAGGAGAAAACCATCTCCTACAAGTTGTCCTCTGACCTCCACACACACTCACAATGATACCGACACATTCACACACACACAAAGTGGGTAAATAAATGTAATAATAATAAAAAAACTCACTAGATAAAATGCTCCTTGGGGTACTAGGAAGGCCAACAATCTCTTATACTTTGCACAACATTAGTGTTTAAATAGCAATTCCAGAACTTCAATCAACTTATTAGATTTCTTCTTAAGTAACTGTCCATGGCAACCTTATCCATCCCTACCACAAAGATGCTTCTGAAAGTACCACGCTGACAGCAGAAACACAGTGTTTTCTTTTTATAACCAAGAAAGGCCAGATTTCCATTTCAGGATTGTTTTGTGCACATGTGACGGAATCTATTAAATGCTTATCTTAGAACCCTGGTTCAGTGAGGAGAAAGAGAGGAAAAAAATATCATCCCTGCCAACCCGCTGGTTGTATGAATCACAGCTCAGTGAAATCTTTCAGGCCTATAATTTATCTTTTCTTTGGCCTATGCAGTAAATGCTCCATTTGCTCATCAATTCTTGCCTTGTTTTAATTATGCTATGGTCTGAATGTAGTTTTATAAGGCACACAAATAAGATTGTCATCTGAAAACACAGAAGATTTGTGTGTTTTCCTCCCCCAGAATGAAGTGGGGGTATCTCTCTCCCATTCACAGCTCTGTGGGTTTGTGGCTAGAATTCCAAATCCAGTCCAGCTAGGAACACTCACTGACAGTTGGGGGCAGGGGTGCATGGGGCTGTGTGTGTGTGTGTGTGTGTGTGTAGACAGCTGACATGGCAGAGCCTAAGGCATAATTCACCCCAAGAATTCTGAATCAATACATGCAAGGTTTATCTTTGCATAATGGTGGTGTTCCCACCAAGAGTGCTATTGATTTGGACGTTTAATTCATGTTGCCTTCTGAGGGCTGTATTTTCTCACTACACTTAAAGAACAATTGGTTTTTCCCCTATATACAGAGGTAGGCAACCAGGGGCCAGATGAGAAACCTTTACCAATCAGAAGTTTACCTTTGTTGTTGTTGTTGTTTTTTAAAAAGATCCTTACAGAGATACATATTTGAATAGGTTTGTAGGGTGGAGATAAAATTGTTATCTCATTCTATTTAAGAAATGTTTTAAATATACATAGTACAGATCAGGCAGTCAATATTTTAAATTCCAGTGCTAAGGCCAAGCAAAAAAGGAAATTTCCTGTGTAAGACAATCAAACACACAACTCATCTTGGCTAGTGTGAAGGAACTGGATTTATCTAGGAAGGAAGACAGGTTTACAATTTTTTTGAGTACTCTGAAAGATGGTGGTAACTTCCAACTATCACCTCCGGGCTGGTGCTTGCTGTGTTTCTCACATAGACTGCTTCTCCAAAGTCAGTCTCGCCTGGGAATCTCTTACCTTTAAATCTAGCTGCCATCCCAAAAGATGCCCCTTCCAGCCACCCCCCCCAATAAAGGAAGCTGAGTTAACAAATCACCAGTCTAAAACTTTCTCTCACTGAGTTTTCTGAGACTAAGAATGAATGGAGTATGCCCAGGTTTTGTGGTTAAATACCTCCAAGAGCTGGCTGCTAGATATTGGGCTGATTTGTTTCATGAAGGATTTGGCTGGATCACTAGGCAACAGTGCAAAGATGGATAGAGCATAGTTCTTTATCCTCTTCCCATAAAAAACTCTATTTTATTCTCAACTCAGGCAATGGACTGCCTTTGGATCCCTACACCTAAGAAAGTTAACTGTTAAAAATCACCACTTGAGAACAGTGTTAGCAGCCCACAGTCGATGAAAACTCAACCAGAATTTTTCTACTCAAGGAAGGTTTGCAAACAGTTTCCCAAATATTCATGAATATTGGTGCCCCAGGATGAGCAACTTCAGGGATCCTGGCTTGTCCATGTGATAGAATGCTTTCTGCAGCAAGCCTCACAATTCTGCATCCAGGACACCTCCCAACACACTGCTCAGGCAGAGCCCTGCACACCCTGCACTGTAGCCCCAGGCATATTTATTTGCCTTCTCTCTGGACAAAGCATCATGAGGGCAGAGACCCTAGGCCCTGCCCATCATGATAGCACCATGTCCACCTGGTAAGGGACAAGACCGCTGTGTTTGGAGGCTTTGAATGGTTAGGACTTTACCTTCATCTAGCACAGTTTGGGAAGTAGATGTAGGAAAGGAAATGCTAAACTTCATAAGAAAGTTTAAGCATAAACTCTGAGTCAAAATATATACAATGTAGCAAGAATATTGAAAGAAAGAGCTGATACATTACATTAACCTTACCTACTTTTTTTTCAGTTTCAGAAACAATGTTGCCAGGCATCTAATAGTTACAGTATAACATTCCTTTTTTCCTTTTTCCTTTTGATTTAAGGTCTTATGAATCCCAGACTGGCCTTGCTATGTTGCCAAAGATGACCTTGAATTTCTGATATTCCTACTGAGATTAAAAGTTTGAGACTCAGGCTGAGCATGGTGGTCCACATGTTTAATCTCAGCACCCTAGAAGCTGAGACAGGAGGATCTTTGTGAGTTCCCCAGTGCAGCCTGGTCTACATAGCAAGTTCCAGACCAGTCAGGGCTACATAGTGAGACCCTATCTCAAAAAAACCAAACCAAACCAAAATTTGTGAGCCTTCACGCCCAGTTTTCACAGTGCCGGGGAGCAAACCCAGGGCTTCCTGAATGCCAGGCAAGCTATTCTACCAATTGAGCTACAATCCCAGCCTGATATTTTAGTTTTTTAGGAGCCATTTTGATTTTACTAGTGGCTTTCTTCACAGACTCCGTCGGTCATAACGCAGACTGCAGACCATATGCCCCAGCCCTTGTCCATGTACCTCATCCTTTGACAGTGTACCCCAGCCTTTGACCATAACTGGAGGTCTGATCCATCTTTACCCAATTCACCTCTTTTTTTTTTCTGTTACATAAAACAGATGTCACAGCTGTTCCTATTCTTCAGATATTTCTGCCTACAGAAACAGAGGACAAGCTACCCTGCAAACTGCTATATGTTCTAGAAGGTTCAATAGCTTGATACCTTGTCTAGGACCTGGGGTAATGCTAGGGTGACATGTGTGCAGTGGTCTTACCCATCAGGGCCCCTATCCAAGAATGCATTGGGATGAACTGAGTAATCTTTTGCACACTTACCTCCCCTTCGGGGACACCATGGGAAGTCGCTGGCACTATGGGAGCCTCTGCTGCCTTGTCCTGATCCTCTGTCCTCTTGACTTCTTGTTGCTGGCTGTCAACAGGTGCCTTTTCTCTTCCCTTGTCCAGTTTAAAGACTCTGTCAAAGAAGCTGAAGTCTTTGGGCCGGGAGGGGGCTTCTGCCCCCAGCTCAGGTGTTGATGGTGCTGGTGAGCTGGTGGTCGGGAGGGCCTGGTCCTCGGTCTGGGGCCACCCAGTGGTTTTATCTGCAGCCTGCCTGGGTGCAGCTGCCCCTGGAAGTGCTCTGCATTCACTCAGGTCTTTGTTCACAGGCTCTGCGCTGGGGCTGACATCAAGCCTTCCCGATGCAGCCGATGAATCTATGCCTTGGTCCCCAGGACGTCCTGGTACAGACCGAGAGAGTGTCAAGAAAAAACGCGATCTAGCAGCTGGTGCCTTGGGACTGGCTTCTTTCCCAAGATTCTTTCCGCTGGCACTGGCCACAGCGTTGGGCTCTGTTGTCTTTGGGGAAGAAGTGGCCACATTATCCTTTGGGATGCTTATTCCCAGATCGACTGTAAACACAAACATAAACAGCAGCCATTCAATAAGCCAGAAAATTCAAGGGTGAATAATGCACTCCAACTTCTGTTACACAAAGACAGCGCTGCAGACTGGGGCTGCGTTGTTCTCAGACTTTCTGCAAAGCGAAGTTAACCATATAGACATCTGACCCTGCTCTTCTGGGGAGAGGAACCCAAGCCAGGTGAGGAGGGACAGCCAGTGACTAGTGACTCACTACCTGTCAGGCACCTTGTGACTGACACCCAAAGGTCAGCTGACATCTTTTATCTCCCTGGAGCCCCAGAGAAGTTGTCAGTGCATTCTACTGGGAACCTGTAGAGGACTTGGGCACTAGAGCTAGAAATTCTTTCAGTCTCTCAGCACTCTTGACATATGGGGTAGAATGATCTTTATCATGGGGAATCTGTCCTGTGCATTATAAGTTTTTAAAAAATATTTTATTATTTTTATTCTATAAGTGTTATCCCTGCATGTATGTAAGCGCACCCATGTTGTGCAATGCCTGCAGAGGCCAGAAGAGGGGTTTTTGCATTCCCCTGGAACTGGAGTTCTGATCAGTTTTAAACATGATATGGGTGTTGGGAACTGAACCCAGGTCCTCTGCAAGAGCAGCCAGTGCTCTTAACCACTGAGCCATCTCTCCAGCTCCCCTACCTCCCAACGTCTAAGTTTTTAAGTAGCTCCACTGGCCCTGACCACTAGAATATCCATGGCACCCCAATGCTGTGATAACCAAACACATCTCTAGATGTTGTAAACCTCTTCTGGGGAAGAAAACTCACTCATGTTGGAGGACCACTGACTAGAATATGATGTAATGATGTAATTTTTCTCTGCCTCCATTTTCTGGTGAAATGAGGTCCCATTTTCTTGGGAAGATGACACTAGTTAATAAAGACAAGAGCTAGTGTCATTATTAGTGAGAAAATGGACACCCCCCAAGAGGTATGTATATGTATGTGGCATGTGTATGTACAAGTTCATGTGTGGGGGGATGCACATGCATGGGAGAATGGGTGTGTATATATGTGTACATGCCTGCAGAGGTCAGATGTCAACATCAGGTGTCTTCCTCAACCACGCTCCACCTTATTTTTTGAGACAGGGTCTCTCATCAAACCTGGAGCTTACCAGTTTGGCTAGGCTGGATGGTCAGCAGGCCCCAGGGGTCTCTGCACTGGGATTACAGACATGCGCTGCTGAACCTGGCTTTTCCTTTAATGTAAGTACTGGGGATTCAAACTCAGGTTCTCATGCTACACAGCAGGCACTTTACTGACTGAACCACCTCTCCAGCCCCTCAAGCATCACTTTCTGTGCAACTCTGTCTCTCACAAAGATAACCTGAACTATCAGGATAAAGGGCAGGACAGAAAAACAACACACATCAATTGCAAAGGTAAACTGCAAATCTTGCAGAAGTGATGGAAGTTTATAGAACTATGTGAACGGACATGGGTGAAATTCTTGACTCAGACACAGGGTCATGAATGGAGCAGGATTCAGCCATGGGGTAAAGCAGAGGGAGGGAAGGAATGCTGAATTCTTCAAAAGAGAATTCTATTTAAATATCAAAGGGTTGTGGGAAGCCCTTGGGAAAAACAGTGAAGACCTCAACAGCCTGCAAAAATGACCCTTTGTGGCCCTGTTGCAAGAGTCAAATGACTCTCCAAACAAGCGTGGCTTTCTGTGCTGTGCAGATGCGTTTGTTGCTCTACAGTGTTAAGAGCCAGGGTGTGTGGGGCAGATGCTTATAGCTTGGAGGAAGATGTTGGATTTGGAAATTTTACTGAATGATCACATTTCAGGCTTTTCATCTCAATCCTAAAGAGCTAGGATGTCATGGCCAAGAAACACTTTAGCACAAATTAAAAAAAAAAAAAAAGGGCTTTGGGACATGGGGGATGAAGTCCTGATTTTCAGCTTGATGGGCCTGGACATTTAGGGATGGAAATGCTTCATCCAAATGGACCATGAGCAGAAGATACCTGTTAACCTCATGCTGTCTGGAAAGCATTCCCTGGGGGCAACACTGATTCCTGTGGGCAAGAGTGAGACTGTGAAGCAGTTTCCACTCCTCTCTCATCACATTCTTTCATCACTCATCCATTTGCATAAGTGTGGAATATGGGGCTGGAGAAATGACTCAGCAGTTAAGAACACTTGCTGTTCTTTCAGAGGGCCCAGGTTTGATTCCCAGCACCCACATGGAGGCTAACAACTGTCCCCCATCCCTAACTTCAGTTCCAAAGATCCGGTATCCTCTTCTGGCCTCTGTGGGGCATTGCATGCACACGATGCCCTTGCATACATATAGGCAAAAGTATTCATATACATAAAAATAATAAAATGTTTAAAAAGTGTGGAACATACAAAGTTAATTCAATTGCAAAGCCAATAGTTCCAACATGAGCAAACACTGTCACTCAAGCAAAGCAGATGTTTGATCCGGTCTTGCATTTTTCTTAATTGGATGATAATATGCATTTAACATGTGTTTTCTATCAAAAATGAAGACTCTCCCATATCTTTTCCTTTCCGGTCTCTACCTTCTGTCCTTGCCACAAGATAACCAACATCTGCAACCTGATGAGGCTTATCAAGAGCTGTGCATTAAGTCACATCCAAATATTCTGCATATTCACACACAATGGCTGTATTTGCCGTTGAGTTTTTATAAAAATGGAATTATCTTTTTGTGAATATGTGTATATGCACGCTCATGGGTAGGTATACCTGTGTGGGGATACATGTGAGTGTATGTGTGTGTGTCTGTAGAGGCCACAGGATAACCCTGGGTATTGTTCCTTAGGCACTGTGTATCTTTTTTAGAGACAGAGTATTTCACTGGCTTGAACCTTTCCAAGTAGGCTAGGATGGTTGGCTCAGGTGAGCCCCAGGAACTCACCTGTCTCTGCCTCCACTGTGCTGGGATTATAAGTGTGTGCCACCATACTCATTTTTTTAAGGGTTCTGGGGCTCAAACCCAGGTCTTCTTGCTTGCAAGGCAAGTATTTTACCAACTGAGCTATCTTCCCAACCCTATATTAGAAATATTTTTGAGGGCTTTTGACATAAAATGCCCTCCTTCATAGTCAAATATTCAAATCTGTCTTATCTTTTTGAAGATGCACATAATATTTCTTCGTATGGATACCTCAAAAGGTATTTGGACCATTGCTTAATCATGAATATTCCATACTGTTAACAATTCTGGAATTAACTTCTATGCTCAAAAATCCTAAACCAGTGTTTTTTTCTGTAGAGTAAAAGCACAAATGTGGAAATGCTGTACTCAAATAATTGAGCATGCAATTGAAATTAAATAAATGCTGCCAGATTGCTTTCCAAAAACAGTCTACAGATTCATATTTCCAGCAGCAATGTGATATAATCACTTTTCTCTCACCAAGGAAGTTGACCAGAGATGCAATATTAAGTACCTTTTAAATGGTAATCAACTTGCCAGGGAAACTGTACCTCATTCTATTTGGGCCCTCAGGTGTTAGGGCAACAAATGTGAGCTCTGGAGACAGGGGTGGGGTAAGGGGTCAAGTTCATGACATAGGAGACTCCCCAAAGATTGACTTATTGTTAGTTTGGGTTTCTGGAAAAATCAGTCGGGGACAGAATGAGGTAAGAGACCCAAGGGAGTAGGAGGCAGAAAAGCCACAAATAGGATAGTATCACTGTCCCAAGAAGAGATGTACCAATGGTCACTGGACACATCAAAAGATGCTTAGTGTCACCAGTCATTGTGGACACATAGTCAAAATCACAGCGTAGTTCCACTCTATACCCACTGGGATGGTCATAACCAAAAAGTAGATCAGTAAGCAATGTAGGTGAGGAGGAGGAGCCTGCATGTATTGCTGGTGGGGTTGTGAAATGGGGCAGTTGCTTTGGGAAGCAGTTGAGGAGGTCCTTATAAAGTTGAACACACATCCAGCATATGACCTAGGAGTTCCAGTGCAAGAGAATAAGGATGTATTTCCACACAAAAACCAGCACACAAATGCTCAGAGGTGTGCTAGTTGTGCTATTTCTAAGAGTTGGAGAGGAGGAGCTAGAGAGATGGCTCAGTGGTTAAGAGCACTGACTGCTTTTGCAGAGGACCCGGGTTCATTTCCCAGCATGTACATGGTGGCTATGAACCATCCTTAACTCCAGTTCCAGGGGAACCAAAGCCCTTTTCTGACCTCCACAGCATCGCATGACACGGGTGCACTCACATGCATGCAGGCAATACACTCGCACACATAAATAAAAATAACAAAATATTAAAAAAATGTTGGAGTGGAGACAAGATGTCCATTCACTCACAAACAAATCAAGACAATGGCATGCATGCAATCGAGTACCATTCACTTTAAAAGGGGATGAAATATGGATGTATGCACACATGGATGAGCCTTCAGGGTTCTGATGTGAAAGAAGTCAGGCACATTGGGGAAGGACTTTGGGATGGGAGCCAGGGAGTTTTCGGAATTAGAGTGGGGACATTTTCTCCCTGCTCAGCCTTGACTGTATTATGTACATCATTCAGAGTGTTTAGTATGCCTATGAACTGTGCCTGTCCTACCTCATGCCACTAAAAATGTACATATAGAGCTGGGAAGATAGTTCAGCAGTTAAAGCCCTTGGCCACAAGCTTGAGGACCAGATTTGGACCCCCCGAGAACCCATGTAACTGTGGGGTGGGCACAGCAACCCACTTATAATTCATTTCTACCCTGGAAAGGTAGAGACAGGGGTCCCCAGAGGAAGCCAGCTAGTGAGATTAGCCATATTGGTGAGCTCTGGGTTAGACTAAGAGACTTCCTCAAAGAATCAAATGGAAGAAACATGGAAGAAGATTCCCAGCATCAACTTTGGATCTCTACATGCATGGGACATGCATACATGTGAAAAGAAGAAAAAATAATAAATGTGTACATAAAGGAAGACAAGAGAAAGGGAAAGGAAAAGAGAGACGGATTTAACCAGACAGATCGGACACTTGACCTATTATTTCCTGCATAGCCAGGCAGGCCCACTGCCGAGGTGGCTCTCACCAGCTTGTAGCTCTGGATCAGAGGTTCTCAGGTCAGGTGGGTCCCGCACCTCAGACTGAGCGGGGTGGCTTTTGTGGACATCTCCATGTGCCACAGACTGATCCCACTCCTGGCAAATTCGAAAATTTGAACTTTTTAGTCCCAGGCTTGCGAGGTTGAGGCAGCGCGAGAGACACAGCCAATACCACCGCGAGCAACAATATCCAGAATATGTGTATTTGCCCCTGGCCAGGCCAGTGAGATTGCCTCGGAGTTTCCTTTCTGATGTAGCTATGACTTTTGGCATCATCCGGGACACTTAGCTTAAGCTTCAAGGCTGGCAGATCCTCACCATCTCACCCATTAGGTTAACAACGGGAGCATTTTTCTCTCAAGTAGGGATTCCAATTCGATAAAATGATCCATATATTTTGCTTTAAGGAAGCAAAATTAGGCAGTTTCTCTCTTAAGAACAATGACTAGGGACAAAAAAGAAGATATTAATTTTAGAAATTTCTTATCCAGGTGAAACAGACACAGACTTCAGGTTCTGAAAAACGATGCTCTCCGGCAGATAAATCACCTGCTGGGCTCTGCCATTCATCAGCTGTGAGGATGGAGACATATTTTTTAAGCAAAACTAACATGATAAATTCACTAGAAAGGAATCAAAGAAAGAGAAAAAGAAGGCATTTTTATTTCCCCAAAGATCTGTGAGGTTTTAGAGATGAATACTCAGAAGGGAAAATCTGGTCAGGTGATTCAACAGGGGCAGCCAATGACAGGCCAGCGCGGCAGCCGACCCTGCTTATAGTTGACATCTCCTCATTTATTTCTTTTTAAAAATATTTATCATTTTATTTTATGTGTACAAGTGTATTGCCTGCATGTATGTGAGTGCACCCGTGTTGTGGAATGCCTTGGAGGTCAGAAAAGGGCTTCGGATGCCCCTGGAACTACAGTTAAGGATGGTTTGTAGCGGCCATGTGGTTGCTGGGAATTGAACCCGGGTCCTCTGCAAGAGCAGTCAGTGCTCTTAACTGCTGAGCCATCTCTCCAGCCCCTTAAATTTAATTCTTATTTTTAAGTATGTATAGGGGTGTGTGTGTGTGTCTGTCTGTCTGTCTGTCTGACTTTGGGTGTGCGCATGTGAGTGCAGATGCCAGCGGAGGTCAGAAATATTGGATTCTCTGGAGCTGGAGTTGCAGGCTTGGGAGCTGCCTGATGTGGGTGCTGGGAACTGAACTCGGGTCCTCAGGAGTAAGAGCAGTGCTTACTCCTAAGTGCAGACCATCTCTCTAGCTGCCTCCTTAACTTTTTCACATTCACAGTCTGTAGCTGCTGTCCTGCATCGCTCTTGTGGATGGAGGGAGTGGCATTTACTCCTATATCACAGTTGTATCTTGGACACTACCAGTTCCATGTGAAGGTCACATAGCTAGTGAGTGAGTGGCGGGTCTGGAACGCTCAGTTGAGTTGGTTGGACTGCAACACTTGTGTGAACTGTAGTGCTAAATGACCATAAATTTTGTGCCTTAACACAAGTATCCTACAGTTTAGTTTAGGTCAAAACTGAGTTAGCTTCTAGAAACTTCCATGCCTCTTCTAGCATCCCGAGGCTGTGTGCACTTCTTGGTCATGGTCCTCACCTCCAGAGTCAAGTCCATCTTTCACTCTTGTTCTCCCTCCCTTCTCTCCTGCCCTCTGACATCTGCTCCCAATGTCACATCATCTTTTGCTACCCTGACCCTCCTGTTTCACTTCTTACAAAGACCCTTGAGATGGCACTGGGCCTGTGTTGATAGTCCAGGACTGCCCCTCCAGCTCAAGATCCTTAACCACACCCACAAAGTCCTCTTTTGCCAGGTAAGGTGACATGCTCACAGGTTCTGGGGTGAGACCATGGTCATATTGGTGGAAGAAAGGGAGGGGACTGCATTGCATACTGTGGGCCTCACCTGCCCTGCTCTCTGGCCTCATAAATAGATAGATCATAGACAGAAGTGCACCCTAGTTCATACCTTTTCAGTGAAGATACTGTTGACCCTGCAAGGACCCCCTAAATGGTTCTAGGCGAGGGAAAAAAACTCATTCTTTTCATGTGTGGAACATGACATAGACCCACACAGAGACGTGATTCAGCATCTCTATGTTATAACACTGAGGATGGGCATCCTCTGAGCAATTAGCAAACCATCTCACTGAGTCCCCGGAGCCACCTGTGAGGCCAGCGCACCCTCCCCACCTGCCTTACTCCTCTGGCCCAGCTGCCTACACCCATATCCTTTGGCTCCTGCCCCTGACTTCAAGTTCACCCGAGTGTGAAGGTGACAGAAGCGCTTCTCTTGGGAATAGATGTGTCTTTTTAAAGCACATTTTTGTGACTAGGGAATAAAGTGCTGATTAAACCACACCGCAGTATCTTGAGTCTCATACAGCTTGGCTTTATGTGAATCCCCGCCTGAGCTCCTTAGGGGAGACGTGCAGTGACTTTTTGCAAGAGACAAGAGAATCTTCTAAGACAGTTGAAAGCCCTTTTGAGTTTCCTTCCCGAGATCTCTGGGCTTAGTGTCTGTCTCCTCCTTCTCCCTTTTAGGTGACAAAGGCAAGCTACAGCTGTCCTCATATATCACCTGGTAGAAAGGGATCATCAAATGGCAAATGTCAGTGAGGGCCGTGGCATGTCTATGGCCAACATTTCATGAGCTGGAAAAGCAGGATACCTCGTCTTCCTCCAAAGACAATTGATTAATTAGGTCTGTCCAGGCAGTGCATGGAGGGGTTACAGGTTCTGTCAGTTTTAACTCCCTGACTTCTGGGTCATTTGAGGTTTCATTGTTTCTTTCCAGTTCTCCAAAGTCTCTGTGTGAATGTACACACAGGCAACGAGCCCCTGCACTTAGCAGGGAGAAAGGCTGCATCAGCCTCAAGGATGGTCTGAATGCAGTGTCTTTTGTCATGCAACACGCTCCATGTCACATAGCTAGTAAGCTGTGAAGCAGGAGTTCTAAGTGAGGAGTGCTAACTCCCAGCCTCTCAGGGTCTTTACACGATTTCCTCTTCGCTCTGCTGCAAAGCCCTAGTCTCTCCCTGCAGCCATGTATCCACATGCCTTCAAGCCTTGACCTATACCTGTCTGAAAAGATGCTGATGGTCTAACTCCTGTGAGAATGGGCTCTTTTGTAAACAGGTCTTTTTCCGATGATGGAGATGAGGCTCTGATCCGGGATGACTGTTTCTTTCTGACAAGAGGATTCCAGGCCCAGAGACAGACCCCCATAAGAGGGTAGGTGCTGGGAGGACACAGGGAGAATCCAGCTATCCAGGAGCCAGGAGAGAGGCCTGAAGCATGTTCCTCCTTAGAGGGCACCAACTCTGCTGACACCTGGACTCAAAACCTCGGACTCTAGCACCATCAGGCATTAGCTTCTGTTGTGTAAGCTACCCAGCCTGGATCCTGTGTCACCTCTACCCCAGGGAATACATACAACCAAGGCAAGCCTGGTTCTCCCTTCTGTTCTGTTCCCTGTAAACAGGGTCAGAGAGCCTGCCATTCCCCGGGGAAGTATCCAGCCACAGAGTACTGACCTTCATCATAGTGCTGAACCACGTGAGTAGATACCATCACCAGGGTCCCGTTCTGAACACACTCACTGTCCAATATCACCTGGAACAGAACAATACTATTAGTCATCAAGTCTTAGGGCAAAATTGGGAGAATTCGAGGAAGAGCCATAAGGCCCCAACGGCACCCTCTGAAGCTAAACTTAAAGGCTCTGTAGCATCCGCTGCTTTGTATCCTGCCTCCAAGTAACAAAGTGACTCGCTCTGGGGCTGGACCCCGGTTATCGTAAGAACAATTTGTTGTTCATGCTTCTTCTCACAAGCCTCACAGCCAGCCAGGCAAATCCCATGTAGATGGCATGCTGGGGCCCCAAAGGGATAATGCCTGGTCAGGAACTGAGTAAAAAGTTAGCATGGCGATTCGGTAACCTGCTGGGTTAACCTCATCTGTCTGGGCCACACAAACACAACCAATAACCACACTTTTTAAATGTGGGAAGTTCATCGCCTGCATGTGTTCAGGTGAGCGTGCACATGTAAATGTACACACGTGTTTGTGGAGGCCAGGGGACAGTTTCAGGTGGTGTTCTCAGGCACCATCTACCATTTTTAATATTTATTTACTTATTTATTTTTATTTTATGAGTGTTTTGCCTACACATATGTGAGTGCACCCGTGTGTTCAATGCCCATGGAGACTAGAATAAGCATCAGATCCCCTGGAACTGAGGTATGGGCAGTCACCATGTGGGTGATGGGAATTGAACCCCGGTCCTCTGGAAGAGCAGCCAGTGCTCTCAACTGCTGAGCCAGCGCTCCAGCCCCACATCTCCCATTTTTGAGAAAGTATTTTTTCACTGGCCTAGAATTCACCAAGTAGTCTAGGCTAGCTGGCCTGTAAGTCCTGTGGATCTGTCTGTCTCCACCTCCTCAGAGCTGGGATTACAAGCCTGGCTTTTTAAAAAATGTGGGTTCTGGGGCTCAAACTCAGGTTTCCATGCTTGCAAGATGAGCACTTTGCCAACCAAGCATGTCTGCAGCCTCTTAGCCTCAGCTCTGGACGATTATCTTCTAGGAGTGATCCCTAACAGGCGGTTCTCCACCATGGCTGTGGGTATCAGTAGTGGGGAGCTTTGCAAACACTCCTGTGCACCCTTACCCCTACAGAGGTTCAAGGTAAATTGTTGTACAGATCAAGTCAGGCACTGTGGTTGCAGCAGTTCCCAGGGATTCCCAATGTGCAGCGAAGGTCTTGAACCCTGAGTCAGGCTGAGGTTAGCATCCTTGGCATGATGGGCATTTTAGCTAGCTAATTCTTCACTGCAGGTTTGGGGGGGCATGCATTGTAGGGTGGTCAGCAGCAGTTCTGGTCCTCCATGTACCCGGTGCCAGAACCCTCTCCCCGCCAGTTGTGACTATATTGTCGAGTGTCCCTCAGGGGAGCAGCGAGGGACCAAATCCTGTCTTTGACCTGCCTGGAAGGAGGCACTAGTGGGCTCCATGGGAATCACATTGGGGCTTTCCAAAGACCTTACCTATCGCTTCAGATTGCTTCTGTCTAAATGGGGGCCCAGAACTTGCATTGTGTGCACACATGTCCATGCATGTGTGTGCATGCATATGTGTGGTGCACGTGTGTGCGTATATATGTACATGTGGTATGTGCATGTGTGTGGATGTGCGGCACCTAAGTGTGTGCATGCATGTGTGTGGTGTATGTGAGTGCATATATGTATATATGGTATATGGTGTATGTGAGTGCATATATGTACATATGGCATGCACATGTGTGTGGATGTGTGTGGTGTTCACATGTGTGTATGTGGTACCTAAGTATGTGCATTCATATGTGTAGTATACATGTGCGTGCAAGGTATATACATGTGTGGTGTACGTGTGTGCATGTGTTAGCTATGTGAAGCATATGTATGTGTGAGGTGCATGCATGGCACATGCACGTGCTCATGTACATGCACGTGGTGTGCACATGTGTTCATACACACACGGAACACATGTACTTCTATGCAGTTCATGTGTGTGGCATGTACGTGCAAGAGGTATATGTGCATGTGTGTGGCATACACACGTGTGAGTGTATGTGGTGTACACATGTATGTGTGTGGTGTATGCATGTTGTACACGTGTGGTATGCACACCTGATGCACACGTGCATGTATGCATGTGGTATGCGCATGCATATGCATCTATGTATGTGGTGTACGCACCCCCCTCTTCAGGGAGCCCTGGACAGGCAGAGCAGTCTCTGACTCCACTTATCCCTGCCCATGTCCCCATGACCAGGGCCCTGCTACCTTGTACGTGTCTGCTTCCGATCCATTCTCCTGCTCCTCGGTTCTCAGTGGAACACTCATTTGATTACCCATCGCTCCTGTGGTAGAGAAGAGGAGAAATAAAAAACCCGGACAAAAATCTCAACACGTGGGAATCTAAGGTGCAGACAGTCTCCTCCTCTGGCCGCCAAGCTTCAGCCTCCTTCTCCCAGCGGGAGATTCTTGGGAGAAATTCCAGTTTTGAGGGGACCATGTTTTGATAATTTGAAAGCCAGGATGGAGGTTGTGTGGAGGGCTGAGCACAGTGTCTCCGGAATATCTTCATTCCTGCTGGGACCAGTTATATTTTCCCAAGAACAGTCTTAACAAAATGACAACAGTTACATATGGGGAGGGCTCGCGCTGCTGGAGACACTGTTTTAAGAGCATCACTTGGAGTGAAACCCACTTACTTCTTGAAACAAACCAGCAAGACACGGGAATATTGACCCAAGTTTTCAGGTGAGGAAACTGGCATGTATGTTAAATCGTGGCCTAGATCATACAGAAACACACGTGCATACATATGCACACACAGAATACATTTATGCAAGCACACACAATGTTTCCAACTAAATGTAGCTTTTTACAAGTTTAAACGTGTTCATTTAACAATTTAACAATGGCTTTGCAAATTTAGAAGCTCCATTATTCAATTTTGTGTGCCTGCCTGCGTGCGTGTGCATGTGCGTGTGCGTGTGTGTGCGTGTGTGTGTGTGTGTGTGTGTGTGTGTGTGTGTATGTCTGTGTGGAGGCCAGGGGGTCTATATCCAGGTGTGTTCCTCAGTATCCTGCACTTTATATTTTGAGACAGGGTCTCTCACTGATCTTGGAGCTCACTGATTCAGCTAGACTGACTGACTAGCAAGCCATAGAAACCTTCCTGTCTCTACCTGCCCAGTTCTGGGATGATAGGCCTGTGTCCCCATGCCTGGCTTTTATATAGGTGCTGGGGATTTGAACTCAGATCCTCATACTTGTGTGGCAAGCCCTTTGTTTACTGCAATATCTCCTCAGCCCTGTGCAGGCTACTTTCAATACATGTTTAAAGCTATAAGCTATCTTGAGTTGGGAGATGTGTGATGCCAGGAAGTCAAGCTTTCCATCTCACAGGGTTTCCTGATCCTTTCATTGCACCTTCTAAGTAGTCTGTCTGTGACTTCAAGGCCCAGGGGAGTGAAAGACGGAAAATCCAGGACCTGTGATCACCTGGAACTGAATAACAGTGCTTTCCACTAGCAATCAGAATGTACTTGGACAGCTACCCTGCCTGTCCATTCAGTGTTTTACACAGCAGGATTTAAATCAAACCAAAGCAAATGTTTACTGCCACCTATTGGCAGACATAAGTACAACCAAAATGGATTTATTCAGCCTAGGGGCTGGTTTCAAATGACTAGGAGGCCGAAGGGGGCATTTGGGTGGTTGCCAATTACACCTTCTGCAGGCAGTTGGCAGGAGGTTGGCAAGCCCTCAGAGCCCAACAGCATTGCAACTGGTAAGGCAGTCTCACCTGAAACATGCAGTGCTCACCACAAGGCCAGTGCTGACTCCCCTAGGGAGAACCCAGTGGAGCCCAGGCTGGGAAAGGAGGCTCCAGAGTTTACATCCAAGCCCTGCTCACCACACTGAGTGACCCTGGACTCCCTGAGTTTCAGTCCTCGTCTGTGAAATGAGGGTACTAAAGTAGAGTTAATTTGCATTTCTCTGATGGCTAGGGATACTCATCACTTCGAAAAGTGCTTATTGGCCATTTGTGTCTGTGTGTCTTTTGAGAACTGTCTGTTCAGTTCATGAGCCCACTTGTTGATTGGGAGGTGGATGTTTGTGTGTGTGTGTGTGTGTGTGTGTGTGTCTGTCTGTGTGTGTGTCTGTGTGTGTGTTATCGTGTCAGAAAGAGTCTCAAAAAAATTTTTTTTTTTTTTTTTTTTTTTTTTAACAATGTTCTATGTAAAGTTGGTCTTCTCTGAAGCCATCTTGGTATACCTCCCCAATAGTGCAGAGTTAGAATTCCTTCAGGGTGATGCCAGGTTTCATTTGAAATTTATTTATGATTGCTTGGGTGGAGAAGCCATTGTCTTTGCAAACCTTGGTGTAGTTGAACTGACAGTTACTATTGTGACCTTAAATAGTTTCACCATTGAAGGGTCACCCAAGCGACATCACAGAATTGTTTGTTTATAAAAAATGGTTATTGGCACATCCTATGCAAAATCTAAAGTGAATCATGGTACCACATAAAATATTAGATGGGAATGAAGCTTGTATATCATCCATTATCATGTGTAATCAATAAACAATTTGATTCTCTTGAAAAAAAGAGATTTGCTTTTATTATTTATTTATCTGTGTGTGTGTGTGTGTGTGTGTGTGTGTGCACGCGCGTGCGTGCTCTGTGCATGCAAGAGACTGAAAAGGCCAGAAGAGGGCATCAGATCCCCTGGAGTTGGAGTTAAAGGCTGTTCACAACCCCCTGATATGGGTGCTAGGAACCAAACCTGGGCCCTCTGGAAGAGCAACAAGTGCACTTAACCACTGAGCCAACTCTCCAGACCCCTTGTATTTAATTTTTGCAGTTCATCATACACTCTGGATATTAGCCCCCTGTCTGAGGCAAAGACTTTCTCCCATTCTGTAGGCTGCCTCTTTGCTGTGCAGAAAATTTTAAATTCCATGTAGTCTTATTTTGTTAATTCTTGGGGCAATTTCCTGTGCTATTGGAACCGTGTTCAGAAAGTTTTCATTTATAAAGGCAGAAAGAAGGCTACTGGGTGTGGGAGGTCCAAGGGGGGGGTAGCAGAGGGATCTGGGGGTGGGAGGTCCCAGGCCGGGGGGGGGCGGGGCGGTAGCAGAGGGATCTGGGAAAAGAGGAAGAGGTGCCACAAAAACAAATTTTGTTTGAAAATGCCATAATAAAACCTAATACCTTTATGCTAATTTAAAAATCAATTAATTTTAAAAATAAGGGTGACAACAGTCCCCATCTCAAGAGAGTACTAGGATTAAGCAAGTTAATATACGCAGGATGCCTGCCCCAAATGCTAGCCACAAGCAGGATCATCTTTAGTACCCTGCTATTTGTGGTCAGTTTCCCCCAAAGCCATCCAGCTACCAGACTCCACTGAGGAATCCAGCATAATTCGAGTTTTCAGAGTCCTCCAAATAAAAAATTCGGAACCCTGAAATATTTATTTTGTATAAATGCTTCTGTGAGTCTTGTGAACAGAAAATATTAGGATGTGTTTTAGTCCCCCCGCCCTTTTTTTTTTTCTGTGATAAAATCCATGGCTAAAGCTACTTAAGGAAGGACGGGTTTATTCTGGCTCACAGTCTGAGGGAACGGCTGTCATGATGGAAGGTGTGGCGGCAGGAGTGGGTGGTGCTTGGTCTCACTGTCTGTGGTCAGGAGGCAGAGCAAGGTGAATGCTGTGCTCAGTTCGCTTTCTCTTTTTTCTTCAGTCTGGGATGCCAGCCTAGAGGAGAGTCTTACCCACAGTTAAGCAGGTCTTCCTACCTCAGTTAACCCAGTCTAGAAACTGTCACAGACATGCCCAGGGTTTTGTCTCCTAGGTGATTCTGGATCTTGTCAAGTTCACAATTAATATTAACCATCACAGATAGATGGTGACTGTCTTTGAGGCCCCAGGTTATGGCATTCTAGCATGTAGGACTTGTACATTAAAAAACAAAAGTCCCAGGCCAAACGGGATGACTTGGCTCCCCCTTGTCACTCAAGGGCTCTGAGACAGGCGCTCCTTTAATGCTCATTCATGAACCAGTGGGGAAACTATCTCTGATGATGTTTCTTTAGTACCAAAACGAGGAAAATAAATTAAATGGGAGTTTCTTGAGCTAAACTTAGTTGAATGAACTGACTTTTTAGAAAGGTGCAGATATGATACAAAAATGTCCTTTGCCATGAATAAATCTTAGCTTTTTAAAAAAATGATCTCATTCGACATTAAACACATTAAGCTACATTATGGCAGGGGATTTTGTTTTTAAAATTGGGTTTGTGTTTGACTTCCAACCCTATGAATCGTGAGAAGATACATGTCTGTCACTGAACTCCCCCACCCTGCCCTGTCTATGGTATTTTTGTTTCTGTAGTTGAGCGGACCAACACAGATCTGCTAAAAAGGGGAGAAGGGACTGGGGAGCTGGCTCTGTTGGTAAAGCGCTTGGCACACAAACATGAGGATTTCAGTTTGATCACCTGCACTCCAGTAAAAAGCGGGGTACACTGACATTTATCTGTAACCCCAGCACTGGGGGAGGCAGAGACAGGCAGATCCCTGGAGTTTGCTGGCCAGTTAACCTAGCCTACTTGGTGAGCTCCAGGTCAGGGCGAGGCCTTGCCTCAAAAAACAAGTACCCGAGGAACAATACCTAAGGTTGATCCTCACCTACACACACACACACACACACACACACACACACACACACGCACGCACGCACGCACGCACGCACACACGCACGCACACGCATGCACGCACGCATGAAAAAGGAAGAATTCTCTAAAACCTGACTACAGACTTCGAACTTGCTTCGTCTCACTCTCTCTTCTGTCACGAAAATTGTTATCATTTAAAAAACATTTACAGTTAATAAAAGAACAGAACATAAACTACTTCTGGTGCATCTGTTGTTGCAGTGAGAATTAAGAGCACAGTTAGTCAGGGAGTATGGCAAGATCTTAAGTGAGGGAGATATAACAAGGGGGGGCTGATAATCCTGAGGGCTTCCTACAGGGCTTGGCAGGAGTCAGGTGTGGAAACGAACGAATGTTGTTGCTAATATCGCTAACATTACTCATACATGTCAGCTATCATTAATACTATTTCTTTTCCATTATGATGCTTTGATCCCAGCAGCTCTGTGCTGTGATTCACATGAACTTGCCTCTCTGAGGGTTGCTCTGGAATGCCTCTTGGTTGACACCCATGGTGGTACCTTGCCTCTCACTTCAGGATAAATGCACACACCATTCAAGCCTACTAGAGAGAGGGGACATTTCTGAACCATCCTCACCAGCTGAGAGCTAAATGGCCGTCCAGCA